TACCGATTGAGTTTATAAGGTTGGTGATTGGGTATTCTTAAAGTTATCACCATGGAAAGGTGTTGTGCAATTCGGAAAGAAAGGGAAGCTCAGTCCTAGGTACATCGGACCGTACCAGATAGTTGAATGAGTAGGTGAAGTTGCTTATTGACTTGCTTTGCAACCAGAGTTGGCGAGAGTGCATAATGTGTTTCACGTATCGATGCTACGAAGGTACGTCTCTGATCCATCACACGTGATCCTTCTTCAGCCACTGGAGATGAATCCAAATTTGAGCTATGATGAGGTTCCAGTGATTATCCTTGATTGGAAGGATAAGGTTCTTAGGAACAAGACCATGCAGATGGTGAAAGTTTTGTGGAGGAACCACTCGGTCAAGGAAGCTACTTGGGAGACCGAAGAACGTATATGAGATATGTATCCACGTCTGTTTTATGGCGTTGATTTGTAGTCAGTATTGAAATTTAGGGGACGAAATTTTTATAAGGGGGTAGATTATGACGACCTATCCCTAATTTTCCTATATAATTTCTCCCTGAGTATGTGTATTGCCGGTTATGCCCTTATTGGCAAGTGACGTGGACGTATTCATATCGTTTTTATTTTATTTCTCGCTATCACATTTAAATTGTACACATTGTTACCTGTGTACGTAAACTTTATCAGTGTGAAAACACTATTCCGGATAGATTTTCGATACTCTTTTCTGTACAAAATCAAAAACCCTATCCTTAGCTTTTATTTAGCCCATCCCGTGCACCATCCTCCATTATTTCACTTTTTCACCAATCCCATCCATTCCCTCATTTTTGTCCCTCAATAAAAAAAATAGAAAAGGAACTCTCTTTCTCTCTCTTCATTCTCCCTCTCTCGTATACTCTCTTCTTCTTTGCAAACCCTTAAATGAGCTTCAAAGCTCACGGATCGAACCCAAGAACCTCATTTTCATGTTCATTTCATCCTCACAAACATAACCATGTTCTTGAAACCTGGAATGGACGAGTTTTCAACGTCGAACTCGTGAGGTCCGAACTCGAGCAAACTGAGTTTAATGTGTTTTTGAGCAAGTTAGGAAGTTTTGAAGCTTGGGGAAGCTTCTACGCAACTCCTCGAGGCTCCTACAACAAAACGAGAGAAATTTGGAAGTGAAACGATCGATTTTCGAAGAGTTCACTTTTGGTCGGCACTTTCGAGGCTTTTTCCGACGACCTTCGTCCACTTTTTGGACTCCAGATAGGTAAAACACGATTCTACTCTTCACGAGCTTCAAATCCATATAAAGTACGTAAAAAATGATTGTGAAATGAATGAGAATAGTGAATTTGAAATTTTTCAAAAAACTGGCGAAAAACCAAGTTGCCGATGGCGAGGACGACCAGAGAAGGAGACGGAATATTCTGTTATAGTTGACGGAATATTCCTGACGGCGTCAGGTAACACTTTTAACTTATGTTAGCATTTAACGGAATATTCCTGACGGCGTCAGGCTAACTGATGACACTGGCCTGCGCTTGGGGGTGCGTCTGGCCGTGCCTTTGACGGCGCGTGGGGGCGTGTGAACCATCCGAAAATTATTTTAAAACTTTGGGGATGTTCGTGACGTCGAGTAGGTCACAATGGTATATTTAAACCCTAGGTTTGAGCAAACTATGAGGGTTTTATTTAGGTTTCCGTATATGTGCTTTAATTAATTTTATTTTAATTATTTCACATATAGGGGAAACGTATCCCGAGGACGTTCGAGGCCAAGCTAGGCTCGGGGGCTATGACCCATCGACGTACTTGTGAGTGAGCAGTTTGTTTTTATACCTATACATAATTATAGTTTCCATAAATGTGTATTTACTTCACTTTACATACATATTGCCAAATAATTGATAACTGTGATATGATTGTGATAAATGCTGTTATATGGTTGAGATATTACTGTCATGACATTCATACATATTTGTACATGCTCATCTTGCTGCACCGGTGTTAGTACTCGCCCAAGGGCCAGGGCCAGTCCTTTATGTGTATGTTCACATCGCACTGTTCACTCGTCTTGGATCCAAGTTAGGTGCCAGTCCTGTAGGGTAGCTTGCATTAGGCAATCCGACTTGTATGTGACGTGCTTCTGTACCAGTTTTCACATGATCATAGTACTAGAGGATATTGATTACACCCAGTCTTGTTCGTGTCAGAAACTATATTTTCAACTCCTGTGTCAGCTTATATGGATGAGCACTTAGTTATACTTGATTATCACATGATTATATTATTGTGGCATTTGATACATCATGACTTGGCATATTTCTGGTTATAATATTGTAATAATGTTGTTTTATCGTTTACATACTTACGTAGTATGTTTTAAGGAAACTATACTTGTTTTACGGCGAGGGGTTAGTATATTCGAAAATAAAGGATTTCGTATAAGCATTGTTTTGTTGACCCACTCAACTTTGTTTTTTGCCCCTCCAAAACCTAGATAGTTGTACTCTTTATGGCACTCGAGGAATCTCGACAGTTCTGACATTCTCTTCTGTTTAGACACACGAACTTATCACTGTTATGTAATAAGTGTACTTAGCTACTTTGACTACTCTTCTGTAGTCTCATTGTCTATTACGCTCTGAATAATTGTAGTGGGTTCTTCCCACGATTGCGCACTCTTTCACTATTTAGTATAATTAGTTCTAATTAATTTTAAATTTACTAGCTTTTTACGTCACTTACCTTTATGGTTAGGTCGCCTCACGGTGATGGCCAGCATGCTTCGACCTCCCCAGGTCGGGGTGTGTCATGAACTCCCTTAAAAATATTATTCATGAGAGTTTGTATGGTTTTAAAAATTCAAACGATCATATACCCATCCTCAAAGCGTAGAGGATGCAACTACGAGCGTTTGCATATTTTTTTTCATATTTTTCGCACATATAAATTAATTATTATAATTTTTTAATATATTTGGTATTTTTAAATTACCTGATATTTTTATTTTTAATGTGTTTTATGATTTTTAATCTCAATCTTTGCCTATAATTTACTATAAAAATAAATAAATAAATAAAACTTAAATTTTAAAATTTATATAGAATAATAATTAATAAACAATATATACATATTCATTATATCTATTGTATTTTATAGTAAGTTTTTTTAGTAGTTAAAAAAATTAAAATCATCAAAATAACTTTTTTCTTATCGTGTCGAAATAGGTTACCCACGTGTCATTCTCATGTAAACCTGCTATGGACCCGTTATGAACGAGTTATGATCGTGTGACCCGATAATGATCCAATTAGTTATTGTGTTGACCCGAAATCCATTATTTTTGTATCGTTTACGTATCGTGTTAATAGATCGTGTAAGAAATTGCCAGGTCTACTAGCAGTGAGTAAAAGCAAAGGCATCTAGTTCTTGTTGGTTATGTTGGACAAACACGCTTTCTTTATGTTCTTGTTTTCGATAGGCTATAACATGACCCACAATTAATAAAGCACAAAGAACAAACAAACAACCAAAACACCACACATAAAAGAAAACGCACGCCATGATCACGAGGAATTATAGTAGTTCGGCTAAAACTGGCCTACATTCACTTCGGTGATTACCGAGTTATTTCACTAGTATGAAAACCAGTTTGGTTTACAAGAAAAATCCCCTTTCCTGTCACAAACCCTAGGTCTTAATATCTCTCACCCCTCACACTCTCTCAAAGTGCTTTACTTTATTGTTCATGTGAATAATCAGTCCCCAACAAGTCTATTTATAGTACAAAGACCAATTGTTACATACCTATTTTCTAATTAAGATTCCTATATTCTAATCAGGCTTCTAGGATTTCTAATCTGAATAGTACAAGGAAACTTAATTCTTTCCTAATTCTTTTTAGACAATGATCTATGCACCTTTACTTTCCTTAATACAATCCTAAAAAAAATAGGACACTAACATTGATGAGCCAAATTCCTAATAGGTTCTAGAACCTGCTTTAGCACAATTTTGCCGGTTTAATTTAGTGGATAACTCGACTTTAGTTTTATTTGAAACTTACGTTTGGCATGCATGCCCTATGTAATTTCTTGATTATGCCAAGTAAAATTTGAATTGATTTAAATTAAAAAGGTGAGTGATGTCAACACATTTTTTTCTTCAAACGATGAAAAGAAAAAACAAATCCACAAACAAGCAAACCATGGGCGAATATGTTGAGTAATATACAAAGATTGGTTTTTATCGGCCATTCCCCAAAAAATATAAAGTATGAATTAAATTAAATCGAATCCCATGATAGTAGTAGTGGCTCGTCTTTACCATGTTACTTTTGCCTTTCTTAGGGCATCTAATTCGTACTTTTATTACATGACTTGGAATAAACAAAGAAGCATGGTCCATGCATGAAATGCTATTTGATTGGACATGTGAATTAACGTACACTGTACCTTTAAATTAAAATGCATTAATTTTTGTAATAAGCAATGGATTGCCTTGTATTGAGAATGAGTCTCATATTGATGAGAAGATAAACCTTGCATTGGCTAATAAGTGGTTAGAGCTTTTCTCTTCAAAGCTTTCGTCTCAAATTTTCTAGGTATCAAATTGTATCCAAAATTTCTTTGAGTGGTTGATCTCCCACATTTTAAATAAGGCTAGGAATATATTTGATAAAATGAAGATGCTCAACTTAGTTAGAGATTTTCCAGTGTGACCAGTACACGGGATTTTTCAATGTGATTGGTATACGGGGTGGTACATCTTGTGTCATTATACAGATGGTAGGGTATGTGTGTTAAAAAATTAATCACTTAAAAAATAAAATTTCCTATCACTTATATAAAAACAAATGATATTCCACTCATGTTCCCGTCACAATGAAAAATTTCACTAACTCAGCGGACCAAAACGTCTCTACCATTGTTGGTTTTGACAATTAATTATTAAAAATCCCACATGATATGAAAGCTCGACGTATTATGCTTCTCTATATGGCTACGCTTCTATATATTGATATTACTTAACTGGCCTTGTAGCCTTTGATATATATTATACATGGACAATTATGGCAAGCAAAAAAATCGCTTGCCCTAGTTGCAGGCAATGGGTTCAAATGACGCTGTATGGCACACAGCACCGATGCGTCTGCGGTCATGTACTCACGACTCGCAGTGCTGCTGCAGAAACACAACGAGAAACTAGTGTTCGTGGTCGTGGAGATCACAAAGGTGAGCGTCATAGCTTCCGGAGATGTCAAATTGGTAGGTGTTTTCAAACCAAGGAATCATCATCAAACAATTCTTCTAGTAGTTGTATAGTTCTAGTCGTAATAGTTTCAAGCAATCTTATACAGGGACAGGGACAGGGACGCTGATGTCGTTGCCCTCCTCCCGCTCGGAGGAGCCAGTACCCAGTGGATCTCAACCAAACAAGCGTGCACTTCTTTGCGGGGTGACATACAAGCAACATAAATACAAGCTCAAAGGCACTTATAATGATGTGAAAAACATGGAAAACTTGCTGACTAAGACCTTCCGTTTTCCTGCCAACTGCATACGCATACTTTCAGGTAATTATTAATTAATTAGCTTTTCTTTATTTGTCGATCGTAATCCTATAACCATTCGTAAATTACATGTATAATTATTTCTCAATTAGAAAACATTGGTCTCCAATATTATGTATAAAGGTTAAAAGAGAAGCCAATCATAAAATATGAATCGAGAAAGAAAAAAGGGGGAAATATGAAGGAAGTGGTTATTTGTGGTGACCCTGCGTTGGCATCAAACTTTCACATCGCTTGGGGGAGGAAATGTAATGTAGTTTACATGCGCACATCTAATCTCTCGTAGCAAGATGTTTTTTGGGTATGGAGACCCACGAACAAAACCGTTTAGGCGTTGCCCAAAGCGGATATTATCTTGCTGGAGAGTGGGCTCTAACGTTATTTGTGCTTTATAAGATAATATGTTTACGTTTTCAATTTACCAATGAATGCAGAAGATGATCCGCGTGACCTAGAGCGGATTCCTACAAAGAAAAATATAGAAAATTCCTTGAAATGGCTTGTGGAAGGATGCCAGCGGGGAGACTCGTTGGTGTTTTACTTCTCGGGGCATGGCTTACGACAGCCTGATTTCAAAGACGATGAGCTTGATGGGTTCGACGAGACCATTTGCCCTGTTGATTTTATGGAAGAGGGAATGATCCTTGACAATGATATTAATGAAACCATTGTTTGGCCACTCGAGGAGGGTGTCACACTTCATGCTATCGTTGATGCTTGTCACAGTGGAACGATTCTTGATCTGGAGCACGTGTACAACCCTAAACTGTGAGCATATTTACGTAGTCTTTAACTTCAAATTTATATGATTGCATACGTTCAATCTGTGACATCAAATTTATATATATTATGAGAATATAATACCACGTATTATAAATGTGATTAAAGTTTCACAATTTAGATATCATGGGCATCAAATCCATAGTTTAGGAGTTAATAATGTCCATGCCATAGCAGCATGCAATGTAATCTCACCATAACTCTGTAAAAATTCTCCTTTAACTGTGAAAATACGTTTTCTTTTTACGTGTTAATTTGCAGGAATGCTTGGAAGGATAATATTCCTCCATCTCGTGCTAGAAAAAGTACAAAGGGTGGGTTAGCGATTTCTCTTAGTGCTTGCGAAGATGATAAAATGGCAATTGATACTACTGTAAGTGATCCCTCTATTATTGTGTTTAAGGAAAATATGATGAAAAGCCAACTTCTGAATGTTTCCAAGTTGAAGCTAGATGTTAGTTGGTAAGGAGGGAAAGAAAACCTATCCCTTCTTATCTCCACAAAATGATGGCATTGGAAGGCATACGTTTTCTTTAATAAGGCCTTTCTAAACCGTTCAATAAAAATACAATAACAACAAAAAGCCGGTATTCACTAATGTGTTGTCTCGGTAATAATGAGAGCTCGCTGCATCGTGATGGGCTCAGTTGATGGCATTTAGGGGAACTAGGTTAATCTGTAGCAACCCGTCCATACATCTCGATAATCTCGCTCTTAAGTATCATTTGTGTCTGTTTTTACTTCTCTCTTGATTGAGGTCTGTATGTACGCACACAAGTCGCCTTTCCTACTTGTCTCTTCGCTCTCTTACATTAGGTTTTGCCATTCTTTTTTGAGCTATCTACCTCATGGGTTGGCTCAAGTTATTAGTTTTTAGTGAGTGTGAAAGATCTCAGCTGCCTTTTCCACCACTACGACTTTGATATGTGTGTAAGGAGCTCTGCTGTCATTCTCCAGACATGTAGTGCACACATCTCACTCCTTGTAGTGTTAGTCTCCTTTACTCCTTCCAATCATTCTAAAGGTCTGCAATATGACTCCAAACGCTTACTTTTTATAGCAGCGTCTAATATCTCCAACTTTATGTGTTCATATGAATCTTCTGTCCATAGTTTCTTCCGCTCCTCATGTGTCTTTAGCTCGGAACACAACGCATTTATGCTGTATCAAAGGAGCTTTTAACTGCGTTCTGTCGTTGAATATCCTTATCATCACTGCTATATTTTCTCTTTGCGACCAGGGTTTAATAGTTTTTGAGACCACGTCTCTTCCTTGTCCGTTTTCTCTCTTGTCATAAAGCCGCAATTGTCTTAGACAGTTACTCTAGCTGTCTAGAATGATCGCCGATGCATTGTGGCAACAGTTGCCACTTTATCTATTTTTTTATCCTTACTTATTTGCATTCGATAATGGCCATATACTTGATATATAAAAACTCTCATGATTCAAACAAGATCATGTCAGATGATTTTTACTCAATTAGCTGTCTTGGAGAGAAATAATTTAGTCTATTATGAGAATTCCAGAATTAGCCAGTAGCATATAAATACCCCTTATCCAACATGACTAGACTGAAATAAGCAATTATGTCTCAAGAACTCAGCACTCCTGATCATAAATAAAACACAAGCGCACTTGAGTAGTTTTTGGTCTTGAGTCTCGACTGGTAAATCTACTATTAGAAAAAATTAAATTAAACCGTCGAACTAAGGGAAATACTCTAATAGTACTCTTTTCTCAGAGAGAACTAGGGGATTGTATACTTTTCCGCATTGCCGTTAGAAGCACACTACCGGTAATAATGCGGTAACCTAACCATATTCACAATGTCAATGGACAATACATGTCTCAAATCAACTGGGCTTCATAGATCTTCACCATCTCTCTCCTCTCTTTAATATTTCTTACTCGAAAATAGGTTTAATAGCAACCAGTTTATACTTTGAACACAAGTAACATATGACATCGCCATTAATTCTCTGAAGGTGTGCTATCACATTATTCTCTGCGTGTGGAGTGGTCAACTAGCAAAGTTGACTATACCAAACAGTTACACCAGCCTCCGAATCATGAGGTGTACATATGGTACATACACTAGATTTTGTTTTAAGGCTTTGTTCGTAGAACTATTTTTGTCTGATCATCATTATGGTGTGCTGGAGAGGATGTAGAAACACTCGCCATATGATGTCTCTAATCATAGACATTGCTCTAGGTTCTGTTCTGACACAACCAGCTCAATAATTAGTTTTATTCCATTTATAATTGTGAATATGCATTGTCAAATAATGTTCAGATAATGTCATTGAAATACCTCTAGGATTGAAACTTCGGAGTTTTTTTATAAGTAAGAAAAACAATTGGTCTCATTTGAGTAATATATTTCTCATCTAGTGTCATAGTTAAGCAATTGTTTTACAATCTTATTGATTTACTGAAAGCTCTGTAGATCATATGCTTGGTGGCATATGTGTTGCAGGAAAAAACCACAATTAGATTTAGATCACTCTTCTGGAAAAACGTTTTTTTGAAGATGTTACTTTAGGTAAGAAGAATTATTGTTGTGTACCAAGTACAATGATCATTTTTTTTTTTGTGAAGTTCTTGTTGGAGAGTTGGTCCTAAAAGCTTAAATCTTGTTAATATTGAATATTATGTAAAAAATTTCATTTTAATATTAAATAATAGCAACTCAATCAAAGGGAGTTGGAAATTTTATACCTTTTGTGGCGAAATTCCTTTATTAATGTTCATCATAGTTTCAGAGTATGGTCGGTGACTATCATTCCTACAATGAGTGAGGCCTTTCAGGGGCTTAATTTTCTATCTGATGCATAATGTAGAATGCCATTGTGTAATTGAGATGTGTGAAAGTAATGAAATATATGGTATTACTCTCCCTTAAGACATTCCCGCGATATAGGGCAAAGAGACTTGTTATTTCGTAGGAACTTCTCTAGATTTAAGTCTCCAGTCGCCAAGGATAGATCTCTCATAGGAATGAGATGACCCTACCTCGCGAAGAGGAAGTTTGTAGAATGTATGTTTATGGGTTAATATCGGCATAGTTAATACTACACAACCGTTTTCCAAAGTTATAGAGTTTTGCAAATAAGTTCTTAGATGGATATTCTGTGTGTCGCTTATAGGGTATTATGAACTTTGACCTGTGCACCCTTTTAACTACCCTCGCAATAGCGAGAGCATGAGATTAGTGTGTTGCTCAAGGTAGTACATTGTTATGATGTATGGAGATATAGGTGGAAAGGATGTCAATACGGGATAATCTAGGCACCCTTTCTTACTGTAACTCTGTCTCAAATAAGATAATGATATGCTATCCCTACAAGACTTGATTCACCTCCTTTAAAGATCCATCTCGGGAATTCTTTGATCGGATGGTTGAAAATTTATCTTTTGTTTTATTGATCAGCTATGTTTTTTAAGAATCTGCTTTCAATAAAGCATGCACGTATTGCATTCTTTAGGTGAATCAAAGAATTATTGATACATATGTTTTGACATTTTCATTATCACATAGAGAATCTATCGCATCGAAAACCCTTAATCAAACACACCATATGGATTGATATGAGAGAACTGCGGGGAACTCGCACATAATGGTGGTGAAACTTCTATAGTTCGAAGGGTTCAAAAACAGTTTGTTCATGATGTGACCGCTATTTGATCGCTTTGACATCTTTATCTCTTACGAATGTAAGTCATGTGAATGCTTCCAGACATATAGATTGACCACTAGTACTAGTTGATAAATTAAAATTAATTTATTAGAGTTGAGTGTTTATTCGCTAGTTACATAATAATGATACTCAGAAAGTCATTGGGTCCCATTCTCTTAATTATAGTACTAACGACGTGTAGCTCTCGAATGAGTGAGCAGGTGCACGAGATATAATTAATTGTTAATTATACTAAATTAATTATTTGGGTTTATTGAACATGTTTCCCCAGCCCTACCAACTGGGTCACAACAAAAGCGGATGCTCTAATATACTTTCACGGTTATAAACCTCTTGTACCAGGACTTATTCTCAATCGGATCTTTATAGTTTCCATTAAACGTAAAATGGTCCAGCTCATCTCTGCTACTAGATATAATTAAATTAAGCATTTAATATAATGAAGGCATTAATCCCCAGCCTCCCGACCGGTTCCACACCACGTACATCTTCATTGCAGTCTCATTCTTCAAACTTTTTGGAGCCTATGATTACATAATTAGTAGGAACCAAATAAGAATCCTTCTTTCCTTGCACAACAAAATTATGGTCACTTAGTTTACCTACAAATCTCAAATAACTTCTCCACCAAGTTCTTCAACGTACATCTCTTCTTTCCTCTTACTTAGACATAATTGACCTCTGGTTTAGTTCATTTCCGACGCACTATACAGATAGAGCAATCATTCATTACGGCCTGGCAAACGGGTGCGTGTCTGTTGTGTTTCAATGTCATTTCATTGTAACAAACTTTATCTTAATGGATCTGTTGTGTGTTCACAACCCGTCTAGTCGTTAAAATTGCACTATCCATACATCCATGTCTCACATAAAGTTCATCTACATTCAAAACATTAAACACATTGTTCTCGTTGACAGGATACTACATTTCTTACATTCGAAAGTTGACAGAGCCTTAATATAATAGTTGACATCCATACACTAGCAGCTTATTCCATTGAAAAACTACTATATTCTAAATAATGGACATAGGACTATGCTCAAAGATGAAAGTAGTGATATTTCCATAATACTGGTTTGCTGAATTACGTCACTCTTTTTCTGCTAAGAAGATTTTTTATAAACCCTGATCGACCAATTGAGGACTTTCAAAGGGCTTTTCATGTCAAATCTCTTTTCTATTGATGACAGAATATGTCCGCTCCACCATTTTTTTATGCGAGGTCAATGCACTGATGGAAACTCTATGGATTTTAGAACTTTGCTTACCCAAGTCTGTAATCTATTAGGCCTTATCAGAGTTATTGTATGTAGTGACTGTCGTCAAGTGATTGATCCTTTATTCCATACCATATAGATCTCTCATTCCGTAATAAACTAAGATATAGGAAGGAATATACCAAACATTCTAAAAAAAAATCGATCTCAAAATTATTGAAGCAGTTTACCAAAAAATTGAGTGACATTTCATAATCTTTATAAAACTTACATAATACTATACCATATAAAAATAAATAAAGCTGCTTGGGTCACAAGCTACACAAAAATAAACGTTACCTCAACTTTTGTGCGCTTTACAGACTCTATGCATTTTAATTACCTTCTGTCTTATTTAATCATACTTAGGCTCGTCTACCTTATCGTAGCAGTAATGTGTACCATTCATACCTCCGTCATTTTTTCGTTGTTTCTCTGTTTAAGTGCTGGACCGTTTGATAGGGGCTTTGGACTCAAATAGTGATCTCTGATGGACTGATTGAAATTTAAAAAATTGTAGATTAAATATTAAAAACTAAAAAAAACTGAACATATATCACTTTATTAATATTTTATTTTAATACTTCGCAGAACCTCACCCCTCCTCCTCTTCCCCTTCGCGGTTCTTCCCCAA